CCCCAAAACCCCAAAACCCCAAAACCCCAAAACCCCATTTCCACTGGAAACTTTTGAAAATAAATTATTTAAAAATGGAAGAAGGCTACGAGGAAGAGAAATCTCCAATTCAATCTCAAAATTACGAGGAGCAAAAGCATACAGAAGGTGAAAGTGAGGCTAATAATGATATGCAAGAAGAATTTGATGATGACGGTGAAGGTGATTACGAGCGTGGAGAAGGAGTTAATGCCCTCAACCTCGAATTCGTACGTGGCTATAACAAAGACATCAAAGACGGAGTCCATAACCTCACTAATGGAGAGAGGAAAGCAATCTTTTACTCAGCAGCCCATACTGGAGTTATCTATGATTATGAAGAAGGAGAGCAAAAGTTACTCCAAGGCCACTGTAATAAGATCACATGCACTGCTTGTTCTGCTGACAAGAGGCTGATCGTGACTGCAGATAGTGGAATTGACAGCATGCTAGTCCTTTGGGATTCCTATGATGGCATTCCTATTAGAACATACTTTAATCCTTATGAGAATGGTATATGTGCCTTGGACATATCTCAAGACGGCAGGTATTTAGCAACCATCTCAGATGATAAATTCCAAGCTGTTTCTATTTGGGATTTACAGAACGAAGAACTTGATGAGCCAATTATTACCACTCTTTGTGGATACGCTAGAGATGACAAGCAGTATTTGATCAAGTTCAACCCCTCAGATGTATATGAACTAGTCTGTCATGGAGAAAGTCAATTGGCTTTCTTATCCTGGAGTGAAGATTCTGATGAGATCGAGTATTATTTGTCTCCAATCCAGCAAAGTTCATTCTCTAAGAAAGAGAAAAAGAATGCTGCATTCACTAGCACTGTGTTTATTCCTGATTCAACAAAAGCAGTGACTTCCACAGAGAAAGGAGACCTTCTTGTGTGGGACATCTCTCTCATTGTTGACGGAATGTCACATACCAATGAGAAGAGGCTCACTAAGGTTCTTGAGCTGCACCAGGATGAGACCTCTATCAACACTCTCACCATCCATGGAGACTATCTCGTCACTGGCAATGAAGATGGCAGTGTCAGATTCTACGATTTCGATCTCAAGATCTGTGGATGGTTCGAAAACCTTGACTTAGGAGTCATCAAGTCTATCTCATTTGCCGATGAAGAACCCAAGTCTGTGGATCATGAAGAAGAAGCAGAAGAAGAACTCAAATGTGCTGATTTCATTGTAGCAGACAGCAATGCTGTTGTCTGTAAACTAGAAAGCAGACTCTTCGAAGAACTCGAGCCAGATCAGAAGAAAGGAGAAGTCATATTCACCGGCCTCAAGTCTGCAATTAACTGCATTGCTGTGCATCCTCATGAGCCAATTCTTGCCATTGGAGGCAAGTCTGGGTTCTTGATTACCTGGAATTATACGACTAAAGAAGAAGAGTACAAACAGCTCAAGGAAGAACCATGCGCCATTGAGTATTCTCCTGATGGCAAATATCTCATGGGAGGAACAGCCGATGGTCTCATTCGTATCTATGACCCATATAATGACATGGTCGAGCTTCAGGCGCCTTGTAAGACCTCTGAAAGAAGCGACCATGCGATCAAGCAACTCATTGTGTCGAATGACTCTGAACATTTTGCCACTATGGATGTGAACAACTGTGTCTGTTTGTTCAAGAGAGATCACAAGTATGGAGACCCGAACGAACCAATCGAGTGGGTCTTTTATGGAAAAGTGAGATCACATGAAATTGAAATCACATCTATTGCATTTGGAGAGTCTCTTGACACCAATGATGAAACCCAGCTCAGACTCTTCTCCATCGGTAAAGACAGAATCCTCTTCGAGTACGATGTGAGAAAGAGCTCAGAGAGGAACGGGTTGGTCATTGACAACAGTAGAACAATGATGATCGAACAAGAGAATGTTCCGACTGCTTGTATCTGGTACCCAACAGTTGATTCGAAGGAAGACCTCTTACTAACAGTAAATGATGTTTACAAGATGAAAATCTGGAATGTTAAAAGCTCTCAGTGTAGAAAGACATGACTCGGCCCTACTTATGGAGGTGACATCAGCAGGCTCAAGAAACTTGAAATTGATGGAAACCCTGACAAGTTCCTTGCCTATTCAACATTCGAGAAAGTTATTGGGTTGATCAAGCTCCCTCTTGATGGAAACCCAACTAAGACAATGGGACTAATCGCTCATCCAAACAAGGTGGCTGACATGTGAGTCACTTCTGATGGAAAGTACCTCTTCACATGTGGTGGAGCAGACCTCTGAGTCAACAAATGGTCGATCGATGTAACTCCTATCGACAATGCCATCATGATGGGTGGAGAAGGAACAGAGCCATTCATAAACCTTATCGAAGGAGGCAGAGACGGCCAGACATTCCAAGACATGAAGGACTTCTTCTATTATTCCATGGTCAAGAGCAAAACTGAAGGAGGTAAGTACTATTACAAACATTTTCAGACTTTCTGTCTCAACTCTCATTTCTCATGTAGAAGACACAACCAAGACCAGGAAGCTCGACGGAAAGGTGTCTATCAACCAGCTTGGAAATCTCATGAGAGCCATGGGACACTATCCCACTCTGAAAGAGATCGAGAACATGATGAATGAAGTTGAGTTCGCTCATTTCTCAGAGAACTGTGAGAAGGTAGACAGATTTGACCTTGACACATTTGTGAAGCTCTTTGTAAACCATAGGCCTGTGTTTGGAATTGGCAGGCCTCACATTGAGAAAGCATTCAATACTCTGTTTGTTGATGCGAAGAAAAATCAACCTTTAGATAAGGTACCAAGGGAACAATTCTTGCAAGAGCTAGCTTCTGAAGGTGAACCACTCATGAACCAAGAATTAGGAGACCTTCTGGACAAATTAGTAGGAAAGCCTAACATCAAAGAAGCTTTAGGAGAAAATATTTGGCCAGAAACCTTCGCTAAGGATATCCTCAGCTTTGAAGAAGTCGAAGAGGATGAGGACGATGAGGAAGGAGATTATGACCCAGCTTATCAAGAGGATAACCCTAATAGCACATTTGCTCAAGATGTGATCCCTGAAGAGAATATAAATTAAATTTCGATATTCTTTATAGATATTGGGGTTTTGGGGTTTTGGGGTTTTGGGGTTTTGGGGTTTTGGGG